GTATAAAAATACCTTAATTCTTTGGTTCCTTGCAGTTTTAGTAGTTATTAGTACTATTTGTTAAACAGATTATAAAATTTAACCTTGAGCCAAATAACATACAAAAGGTATAAGCCACAAAAAAAACTCGGGGTGCGGCGTATCTACGAGAGCAGCTTATACATGGGTAAATACGGTAGTCACATTTAATTTTATGATAGGGTTACATTTACATTGTAATAGTGATTTTGTTAGAGATAATTAAAGATTATAAAGTCAACTTTCTCGTAAGCGACTACCTGAGAATCAGGAGAGAGTTTTTTACAGAGTTTATATGGGAAAAAATTATAACAGGGAATTTAAAAGGTGGTCCCATACAGGGTATGGTCGCTTACGAGAGTGGTCGTTCAGAGAGGGGCAACTGTATTTACAACTATGTAAAAAGATAAATTTAACACCGTAAAAAAGTATGTGAAATAACTTACTGACGTTTTGGACATTAATCCTTCGTCGGAGTAAAAGACGAAGGATTAACGTCCGACGAAGGATTATGTCCGAAAGGTCAGTAAGTTATTTCACATACTTTTTTTTCGGTGTTAAATTTATCTTTTTACATAACTGTTTCTTTAGAAACACCGACGCAGCTCACACTAGTTTACCGCTAGTTCCCACCATTTGTATGTACAACTATTTTATGTCAATGATAGCCTAGAACACCACTGGAGGAAGAAATTGCTGCTGTGTTGAAGGGCAGTTCTCATATGATGGAAAGAAAAAACAAAGAACTGACAGAAGAAGAAGAACAAGCCTTACTCACCATGAGTGTGGAAGAGGTCTGTATATTGAAAGTATATATTTATAGTACTACAGTATGTAGCTTAAAGGGTATGGTCAATGGACATCTCTCACATTCATTAAAATTGTTTATTTCTAAAAATAAAACTACCTTGCAATATATGCAAAAATGGAATCTTTATTATCTCTGTACACCCTATGAAATATGGAGATTGCAAGATTCAATCTTAAAATGCATGCGTGGATGGAAATGGATTGTGAATGGATATTTGAAGTCACCTCATTTAATTTCCATATATGACCACAGCCCTTTAAGTGGATTTACAACTCTCTTTATGGGTTATGATTTCTATTGTGTTTTGCCTTATGAATGTTAATGAGGTTTATAAAGATATTATTAAGTGATCAGCTAGAAATAACTTGTAGATATATTTATTATATTTAGAATGGTAATGCTTTTACAGCTGAGTGTACAGTGTATTTCCTAATATAGTCTGTATTTAGTGTACTGATTGAATATTTATTTTATTATTATGAAGGCAAAAGAAAGACGAAAAGAGCTCCAGAGATTACGAGCCCTGCAGTCCTACTATGAAGAGAAGTGCCGTAGAGCCAAGAAGATCAAAAGCAAAAAGTAAGACCAAAACAAAACACAACGTGCCATTGTTGCATTTTACACTTAAAGTGCTACTTGCATGAAAATGGCCTTATTTCAAAACTTCAAGCAATACAAATATATGACTCATTTATATCTATTAAAAACAATTCCGGGAAATATATGTCCCCTGTTCCCGCTGAAATCTGCCTAATTTCCTTTGTAAAGCGATTTTTGTGAAAGTTTTTTTACAATTTATAAGCTCGTTCACCGATATATAAGATTCATATTTCCATCAATCATTGTTCATGATAGGTCCTTTTAGTATGTAGTTTCTATTTTTATCTTGTTATTTCTATTTTGAGAAAATGAGGTTTTTTGTTAGTGTTTTCTGTGTTGTCGCTGTAAATCGCCAGGCGCTCTGTTTACAGATTTCAAGACGCGAGCGCCCACTGGCGGGAAAGCTGTGGGCATGCGCAGTGCGTTTTTCACCAGTGTCTATCTGTACTTAGGTATCATCGTATTAAGAAAAAAGGAGAAAAACGTTCTGCTGAGAAACATCTTGAAGACCTAGAGAAAACAGACCCAGAGAAAGCTCTAGAAGAATTAGAAAAACTTGAAAGAGAAAGAGCAAAGGTATGGACAAGATTTCAAAACTGAGCTGAAGTTGTAAAGGGGCCTCTACAGGAAATTTTAAGAAAGTAAAAGGAGTCTTGTTTATTTGTACAGTTGTGAATTTCTAAAAGTGGATTTTCACTGCATGTATTCGTTTATATTCACAAAACATTTTCAAAAATCTTAGTTAGACATATCTTAGTTAGAAATAGGGTCCTTCACARGCAAATCTACTCTGTGGGATTCCTGTGTTAAATCAAWGAGGTGCCARTTCTTCTCGGTCAAGATKATCAACACAGGAAACCAAAAAGGCAAAAAAGTCAGTTTTCAATGGAGTAGTCTGCAAAGGAGGCTAAARTATGCCATATTCACTACTAGTTTRTGCAGTCTTTTCAGTGCCCTTTTAATTCAGCTGCTTTCTTGTCATATGCAATCTGTTGTTTACAGTTTGTTCTGCTAATTTGTCAACAGGAAAGACTCTCTTTGAAACATCGCTCAACTTCCAAGTGGGCCAAGAACTTGCTTATTAGAGGACAAAATAATCCAGAGGTACACATTTATACACGCGGTACTATTTAAAAAAAACAGTTAACTAGATACAAATCAGGGGTGGATCTAGATATTTTGAAAGGGGGAAGAGGACATATATAGATTGCATCTCTGACTGTCAGTCTGAATNAAGGCATATACACATCATGTAACATATAAATGAGTATATTTTGTTATAAAATTATGAAACAGCTTGCCATTTCATTATAGAGGGTTTAGGTTCCGATTTGACACATTTAGACCAAGCCAAAAAGTACAAATTTCTATATATACCGTACAGTTTTAATTGAAAACTACTCACATTCTAGCATGTGATTAGCACTTAGCATGTCGAAGCTAAAAATTTACGGGAACCTTGCATACAGAGAAGCACAGTGACATACCATTCATAGACCTTTTTKTCGCTCATTTTCACATTTCATTCCCATTTTTCCACTTTTCTCACCCTGTCCTCATCCATGGTGTCCAGGCTAAAAAAGCTCTACAGGAACAGCTTGACCTTAGCAGAAAACTGACAGAAAAACAGAGAGAAATGTCAGAAAGTGAAGAGGAGGAAGAAAGTGGGGTTTTACCGGAAGACGACGACGAATCAAATACTTTTGGCAGACTTGTAGCCGAGGCGGACAATCCATGGAGTATAGATAAAACTGGAGATGTAACAGCTTTAGATGATAATGAGAAGAAAACAAATGGTATGTTTGCTGTCTACAATACTCTATTTAACAGTACAAGGCGCCATCTTGAAAGGTAGCTGAGCCTTTGCATCAAAGCTAGGCAGGAATGTAGCCTGCAGTGATAGATACCTTTTATAGACTTCTGAACCTTTTACGTCACTACTTGATTTTCAATGCATTGTGGGAYCAGTTTCAAGAGAAAACAAAAGAAATCCGCCATGTTCTGCCCCAAACATATCCTACAATGCATTGCGTATACGGTACATGACGTAAAAGATGCAGAGGTCTATTCACAAATAAGACAATAATGCGCAGGTATCTATCATTGACATCTCTAATGCTGTCTCATTTGATGCAAAGGCTTGGCTACCTTTCAAGATGGCGCAGGGAACTGTAAAAAGAAACGCTGAACCTTTATCAAATTGAGCAGTCCCCATTAAGCTGTCGCTATTTGTAAAGTATTTATGTATAGCTGTGATGAAAGTGCAGGGGTCCTGAAAGCAGCCATACCATGTGGGCTGTGCTGACATGACTGATGACAGCTTTGCACATGTGTAGATGATGTCATTAGCGTGTCAGGATTCTGCAGTTCTGAGCCAAATATTAGAGAGATTTAGATTCAMGTTTATGGCGAACGACAAATATCAAATTGGTTAAAAAARTTCAAACAAACGCAAGAACGTTTCGAAGAACAATGCGTCCGCCATCTTGAAAAGTGGGCACCGAATTACTAAATCATAACTTATATAAATTATATAAGGAATTAAAAGCTTCTCAGCTAATSTCAAGTTAATATAATACAATATAATGATAGATAAGTTGACTTAGAAACGACGGAATGTGTTCTAAGGCACAACATAGTTCGGGTCTCACTTTTTAAGATGGCGGACGCATTGTTCTCCCAAAGTACTGATGCATGTATACTGAGCTCATTCACGAGAAAAAAAATTGAATACACACACAAAAGAACGGAGCATTAACACAGTGTCCACGTGATTAATTTTGACGTTTGGCGTTTGGTGTAAGATAAATGTTTCAAGCCTTAGATAGTACCACAATTTGAGGGTTTACATTGAATTCACGCTTTGTTCGTTACTAGAGTTGTCTGGATTCAAGCTTGCTGAACCAATCATCAATAAGGAATCAGTTTATATTGATAACAATAATGAAAACAGTGACACTGAGGCACCAGAGGACGACTTTGAAATCACTTTATCAAAAAATACAAAACCAACAAAATCGACGAAAAAGAAACGAAAACAGAAAACTTCAAATGAAGTTCATGAATCGGAAATTTCAAAAACGAATGAGAAAGCCAAAAAAGGCAAAGATAAAATTAAGAAAAAAACAAAGAAGAAAAAACACGAGGGAAATGAYGAAGAAAATGACGAAACTGAATTCCACGAAATAGAAGGTAATAACCAAAATCTGGGAGATAACTCGACACCAAACAAAACCGCAACAGCGGAATCAGCGAAATCAGCAAAACCCAAAAAATCAGCAAAACCAACTTCATCTATTTTGGATCCCAAAAAGATTTTTCCYCATGAAGATGGCAATCTCCAAAGTGATGACGCTGACCAGCTCATGACGATACAGCAGGCGTTTGCAAATGATGACGTCATTGAGGAGTTTGTCCGAGAAAAAGAGGACGCAGTGGAGTTGTCTAAAGGAAAAGACCTCGATCTGACGCTACCTGGCTGGGGGGAATGGGGAGGACCYGGTGTAAAGGTTTCTGTGAAAAAGAAAAATAAATTTGTYAAGAAAGCTGAAGAAAAGTCGTCAAGAAAAGACAAAGACTTAGCYCATGTTATTATCAATGAAGAAGTAAATAAGAAGTTTGCCAAGATACAAGTAAGCAAAATACACTAGCTGCAATATTAGCTGGTCCGTTTATTTTTAATCAGCTCCTTTCTAGTTGTTTGGTTATTACTGGTTGGCGGTTCTGTTTGATCTGTTGCTTGGTTGCTTAGGTTAAGATTGGTTGGCTGGCTTGCTTGATTATTTCAATTGTTAGCATGTTTCTTGGTTGATTTATTTGATTTTCTTGCTTGCTTGCTTGCTTGCTTCATTGATTGGTTGATTGATTGATTGATTGATTCAGTGATTGATTGATTCAGTTATTGATTGATTGATTAATTGATTGATTGATCAAGATCGGTCGATTGATTGGTCGATCGATCGATAATGGATTTATTGATTGGCTTGCAAAAGATTGGTTCATCTTCTTAATGATTGACAGTCGCAACAACAGTTTTTCCAGTTAAATTATTGACGAGCTGCTTAAGTGTTCGATCAACATTTCAATAGCTTTCTCCTTTTGCTTCATTCAGGTTAAAAATGTACCACATCCTTACATGAACCCAAACCAGTTTGAAAAAAGCATCAGAAA